CAATTAAAGGGATAGTTCACCCAAAACTAAACATTCTGTCATTAATTACTCACCCTCATGTCGTTCCCAACCCGTAAGACCTTCATTCATCTTTGGAACACAAATTAAGATATTTTTGATGAATTCTGACAGCTCTCTGACCCTCCCATAGACAGCAATGTAATTACCACGATCAAGGTCCAGAAACGTAGCAAGGAGATCGGTAAAATAATTCATGTGACATCAGGGGTTCAACCGTAATTTTATGAAGCTACGAGAATACTTTTTGTATGCAAAGAAAACAGAAATAACGACTTTTCTTCAACAATTCGTCTCCTCCGCATCACCCTATCACCATTTTGGAGAATATCCACTGAATGCAAACAGCGTATGCTGTTCTGTGTCAGCTGCGCCATATCAATATATCTTAATTTGTGTTCCAAAGATGAAAGGAGTTTATGTACAGCACTGAGTTTTGAGACCAAGGACACTTACGGGTTTAGAACGACATGAGGGTGAGTAATTAATGACATCATTTTCATTTTTGGGTGAACTAACCCTTTAACATCTTGTAATGCGAAAAGCTAGATGTTTGTAAGAAACAAATCCATCATTAAACTGTTGCTTCTGGCCAAAATACAAGTTCATGATTCATAGTAACACTTTCTCTGGTTAAATGTCCATCTCCTGCTATCCTCTTGAATTTTGTTTAGAACTGTTTTAGACTGTTTTTGTTCATAAACGGTGATTAATCTGTGCATAGCTGTCTAATAAATTTGTGTGCTACAACAAGTGTTAGTTCTTAAGTGATTAATTGCTTTGGTCCTCTTTTGTAAAATGCATAAATGTAAATATTTTTTCTCTCGATTCAGATGAGACTTTTTCACTGGAGAAAAATATTACGGATAGAGGACTCATATTTTAGTCGGAATTTGTTTGTATTTGTTTCTTACAAACACGCAGCTTTTCATTTCACAAGATACTAATTGATGGACTGGAGTGGTGTGGATTACTGTGTTTTTATCAGCTGTTTGGACTCTCATTCTGACGGCACCCATTCACTGCAGAGGACCCATTAGTGAGCAAGTGATGTAATTCTAAAATTCTACACATCTGTTTCAATAAAGAAACAAACTCATCTACATCATGCATGACCTGAGCTGAATAAATCTTGAGCAAATTTTCGTTTTTGTGTGAACTATTCCTTTAATAAACAATTAATAGTATAGCATAGCATAAATAATCTGTTGATATGACCAACAGATGCCTCTACCACACCATCTGGATTTGCAAAATAAGAGAATGGACACATACACACACACACACACACACACACACACACGCACACACACACACACAAATTACAAGACAACCATCTCCCATTTCCTTTGTTCTCATGTTTCTACAAAGAATCAGCTCTGGAGCAGGAAATGAAAAAGATTGAAGGGAAAAAGTAGTCTCAGATGAAAAGGAACATGACAAACAACATCCCTCCTTTCACGCCACAATCAAAATAGCAGCCAAGGGGGAGAGCTCATTTGACCTTTTCTCTTAGGATTCTCTTTGTTCTCCTAAAGAAGACACAGATGCTATTTTGTTAATTAACTGCGCAAAATAAAACAGAAAAGAAAGAGACAACTGAACGGTGCCAGACACCTATATTTTATTTATATTCCACCTCACAAACGCATTCAAATGCGCACTAGTAGTAATGCATAACTGGATTGCTCTGTGTGGGATGAGTTATGTTAAAGATTAATATGTATGTGTACGTTCAGATTCCCGACTGTAAACCAACGGTGTTGTTTAAGCTCCGTTTAAGCCAAACCTAAACCCTTTTCCTAAAATCCGATGGCTGATACAGTGTAAATGTTGTTCCAGGACCATCATTTCTTGGCAAAATGATGGTCAATATCTTGGTACACTTGAGTGCAGCCAATCTTGTCCCAATTGAAAATAGTTTTACGTTAAATTAAGGAAATATTTGCAATTCTGATATGGTTTGCGCACTAAGAAACAATGCAAAACCTCTACCTCCTACACAGTCCCTCTCAGCTCTAAACACTTCTCCATGTATTGAACGCTTCAGCCACTGCAATCATAATCAAGACTTTCCCAAAATGTGGGGGGTAGAATATAAGATGTGCATGTTGAACTGTTAGTCATGCTAATCAGTGGAGGACAGTGGGGGTGTTCTGCCCGCTGATTATGGCAATAAGTGACGCACAAGAACGACGAAGGGCCACTTGAAAATGACTTCAAGGAGCACTTCAAACTCATGACGAAGTTATAATTTGTGATGCTGACCCTTGATAAGAGTCTGTCCTGAGCAACAGGACACAACATTGAATATTCTTTCGTTACAATGACAAGCATCAACTCCATATCATAGTGACCTTTGATGACAAAGGCAGGCTGCCGATCAGTGATGTTTACTGTGTGCCACCTTGTGGGTAAAACAGAAACTGAACATTAACATGGTACTCTGCAGTCCTGTTTAAGTCAGCATATTCATAGGTCCAATACACTTGGCAATTTTTAGCTCACAAAATTATACACTGTTTGTGACCCTGGAGCACAAAAGCAGTCTTAAGTCGCTGGGGTATATTTGTAGCAATAGCCAAAAATACATTGTATGGGTCAAAATTATTGATTTTTATTTTATGCCAAAAAATCATTAGGACATTAAGTAAAGATCATGTTCCATAAAGATATTTTGTAAATTTCCTACTGTAAATATAACAAAACTTAATTTTTGATTAGTAATATGCATTGCTAAGAACTTCATTTGGACAACTTTAAAGGCGATTTTCTCAATATTTTTATTTGATTTTTTTTGCACCCTCTGATTCTAGATTTTCAAATAGTTGTATCTCAGCCAAATATTGTCATATCCTAACAAACCATACATCAATGGAAAGCTTATTTATTCAGCTTTGAGATGGTGTATACATCTCAATTTAAAAAAAATTACGCTTATGACTGGTTTTGTGGTCCAGGGTGACATTTGTTTTCGACATTTGTTTTTTTTATGAAAATGATAATGATTTCTGTGATTTGTAAAGAAGATGGTCTTAGAACTGCAAAATGCCAAGAACTTCTTCAGCACTGTCAAGGGAAATAAACCGACAATATTCCCTATAATAAACAGACAACCAATATTCCCTATATTAAGAGTATATAACCTACATACTGTTCAAAAGTTCTTGAGTTCTGTGAGATTTTGTTCTGCAAGTGTCTTGCGCTCACCAAGACTGCATTTATTTCATCTAAAATATAGTAAAAACGGTAACATTGTGAAATATTATTTCAATTTTAAACAACAGTTTTTTATTAGAATATATTTTCAAATGTAATTTATTCCTGTGATGCAAAGCTGAATATTCAGCATCATTACTCCAGTCTTCAGTGTCACATGATCCTTCAGAAATCATTCTAATATGCTGATTTGCATACATGATTCAATTTATTCATGATTCATTTTATTTTTTTCTCAGGATTCTTTGATGTATTAGAAAGTTCAAAAGAACAAAATAATTAGTTTGAAACAGAAATATTTTGTGACATTATGTCTTTACTTTTGATCAGTTTAACACATCCAGCTGAATAAAATTATCATTTATTAATGGCAGTTTGAATGGTAGTGTATAATAAAGAGTATATGCATTTTGTTTCTATTTTTAATGATAATTTTAGAGCATACAAAAAGAAACATTAACAACAAATTATCTTAAATAAATAGTGATCATCTGAAAAAAAAAACTGATAAGATAGAGATAGGTAGAAGATAAGCACTGAAGAATAATTTATTAAAACATATTTCATATTTATGTACTACTAAGAAATACATGTACTTGTGAGAATCAAAGCACTGGGCATAAAAACATACACAACATTAAAATCTTTGAGAAATAAATATTTTTTAAGAATAAACTATTATTTTGCATAATTTCAGTTGAAAAAAAAAAATGAATCAAGACCTGAAGCAACAAAACACAAATTTGAAAAGGAATTACATTCATGCAAGTGCTTGCAAACGTAAACCTTATCATAATTAATGCTGTACTGTATATGCTCCAGATATTTCATGGACAGATATTTTTATAGAGGAAACTATTCTCTTATACTAGCATTGTTTATTTAACACATATGTGCAGATTTAGTGAGAACACTGATCTGTATTTCTGCATGAATGGCTGTTAATATTGGGATTTGATCCATAATATATTTAAAAAACATACTAAGTATAGTTCCAATCTATTAATATATTATTTACTGACATATCGCTCAAGACTTACTGACATACAAATCATAATGGAACTTTATGTGGAGCACTACTTGTGCACAATGTGCATTTCTTAATATGAAGTGAAGTGAAGTGAAGTGACATGTGGCCAAGTATGGTGACCCATACTAGGAATTAGTGCTCTGCATTTATCCCATCCAAAGTGCACACACACAGCAGTGAACACACACACACTGTGAACACACACCCGGAACAGTGGGCAGCCATTTTTTGCTGCGGCGCCCGGGGAGCAGTTGGGGGTTCGGTGCCTTGCTCAAGGGCACCTCAGTCGTGGTATTGAAGGTGGAGAGCTTTAATATTAAGCTTAAAATGTTTTTAATGACACTATTGATGAGGATTGAATAATATTGGACTTTAAATGCAAGATATTTAAAGTGTACATGAAGTATATTTGCAATAGTTCCACTGTAGCACAATCAAATACCAAAAGTACAATTGCAGGGTATTTTTATTAAGTACATAAATATGTAATTGTATTTGTAGTATACTTAGCATGAAATACATGTATTTTAAATACATTTTAATATATTTATTTTTCACTAGGGTATTAATAAATAAAAATACACCGTTTCTGTGAGCCATGCTTGAGCTGAGATCTGAGGTGATGTGATGTTTGATCATTGTTTTAGATAAGAAGGGAGTATATAGGTTGAAACGTTTAAAGGGGTCATATGATGCTAAACACATTTCATTACACCAAATACACAAAATAATGTTATTTTTAGCAGCATCATATGACCCCTTTAAGAGTCCCTAGGTTCACATCACAATATCACCAGCCACTCCTACAGAAATTGTAGTTTGTTTTTTTTTCTCAAATATGTGCTTGCATTTGCGCACACAATAAACACACACACGTCACTCACTCAATACTGAAGTAGCATCCAGTACTTCTGCTCTCATTTTATCTGACTACTTGCCAAATGATTATAGCAAAGATGGTCGCCGCTAGCGACAGGATAAGAGCCAGAACACACATCCTCTTGCGGGATTTTCTCTTAAAAGGAAAAAACAGTTATATACAGTCAACCAGGCAGCACTGCTTAGCGTATGCATCTGCTACATAAACTACCAGTCAAAAGTCTGAAATCATTTTGAAATAGAGACCTTTTTTTGTTTTTTTGATAGAAATCTAGTATGCTCACCAAGGCTGCATTTATTTGATCAAAAACACAGTAAAACAATAATATTGTGAATTATTAGTATTACCGTTTTAAAGAACTGTTTTCTATTTGAATAAATTGTAATGCGATTCCTGATACCTGATAATAAGCCGCCTGCTGGAGTTGTTCAGCTCCTCGCTCCACATGCACCTCTGCACTCTCCACGCTGGCTTCAATGCTATCTGTGAATGATGACAGGAGGAAACCAGGCCTTCAAATCTGTGAACAGCTGAATCTGTGCAAAAAATGAGTTTAAACGAAACTCTTCAAATCTGATTGGAGAGAGCTAGACTAACCTATCATGTCACCCTGGTCATGGATCATGACTGCAAGGTCCTTGAAGATCTGATTCACATCCATAATGTCTGACTGAATCAAGAATCAAGAACAGAAAGCAGTTGGGACATTGTACTACAATCCATGTCTGAGAATTAGCATGTAATTACCATTTGCAAAAAAAAATGACAATGTATTTGAAGGTATAAAAAAATGAATGATCAAAAAAAGCTGAAAGGCTAGCTTGAATGCTTATGAGAAATGATAATTTTTGTATGCTGATGTCATACAGGAAGTGCTCACCTCCAGCTGACGGATATTGGTCTCTCTCTCTTTAATAAGCTCAAGGTCCTCTTCGGTGAAAGGCTCCTCTTCTGCCTGCATCATCCACCCTTCATTTCTTTTCAAATGAAAAAAGCTATGAACATTTCCGCTTTCATATCTCTCACCAGACCCACATTGTTCATATCTGATTCATATCATATCAGTAAATCATCTTGGAATATGTATTGCATGTTTGTGTTGTGCATTTTAATCAAAATCAGGGTACATGAGGGCAATATTTGATCCTTGGGTTTGAATTAGGGTCAAATGACTTATGAACACCGTTTGATAAAGGATTAATTTTTAGATTTTAGACATTAAGCTATTAAAAATGACAATTCTATCATCATTTACTCACTCTCGTGTCATTCCAAAGAGCAAGAACAAACCTCAGATGTGCTTGTGTGACAGAACCTTATTGGTTCTCGAGTGTCAAGTAAAAACAACTTTTGAGCTTCTGTTGACCATATTTGATGTGCTCTATATCCACCTTAATTTTCAAAGCGGAAGCCGTTTTCTGTGAACGTGTTAGATTTCCGGTTCATTAGCCGCTGTAGGGAAATAACGAGATAAATAACAACGTGCAGTAAACGGTAAAACTGTTTGCACTACAAACCAGTGTGTTCATAATTAAAGGGTTAGTTCACCCAAAAATGAAAATTCTGTCATTAATTACTCACCCTCGTGTTGTTCGAAACCCGTAAGACCTTCGTTCATCTTCGGAACACAATTTCAGATATTTTTGATGAAATCTGAGGGCTCTCTGACCCTCCCATAGACAGCAAGGTAACTACCACGTTCAAGGTCCAAGATGTACCAAGACATCTTTCTCGCGTCATGGTACTGTCGTGAACGCGCGTCCAAAGTGATGTTCATCAAAAATATCTTAAATTGTGTTCCGAAGATGAACGAAGGTCTTACGGGTTTCGAACAACAAGAGGGTGAGTAATTAATGACAGAATTTTCATTTTTGGGTGAACTAACCCCTTAAGACAATACATTAATATGGTAAGACACACTAGTTTGCAATATCAAGCAGCAAAACGAGTTTTGTACAGCTAAAAATAGCTGGAAGCGAATGACATCGGAAACACATTAAATTTACAAATGGCCATGCCCGCTCTTATACGGGAAAAATAAGGTGAATATGTGTGTTGTGCAATGTTTGGATGTAAATAAGTCTTTATGAACTTTCAATGTCTGAACAAAAATGATGAGAAATGTAAAAATATATTCACTGGTGTTTGAAAGATGAAACAGAGATTTATGGGTTTGGAAACAATCTGAGGTGAGTAAATAATGACAGAATTTTCATTTTTCATTCTCACAATTGTGCCCATTTTTAACACAAAACAGATAGTCCTATGTCTCCTACTTTTCAAATGTCACAAGCTGTTCATCTTGATTGAGCTCATCAACCTGCAAAATGAAAGGCTTTTTATTAAGGAAATGGCAAACAAAAATAAGCATTAGATAATTAGCAAATATAGTTACGTGGAGTCTGGAGCCAGCTCGAGCCTGCGCCACTGATTCACGCTCCCTCTCTGCAGCTCGCCGCTGGACCACTTGGAAGTTGTTGAGGGCAGCTGAGAAGTCACTCATCAGACGGTCTTTCTGAATCCTCTGCTGCCGCTGTGTGAAGAGAAGCATTAGCATGACCACATCTGAGGCCAGCTGCAGGCTGGTATGAGGAAGTGTGAACTCACCTGTTCTGAAGGAGACTGTGGCTGTGGTAAAGAGCCCAGGTCTTTCAGATGTCTGTTGGTCTCTTTTGCTAACTGGTTTGTGTAGTGCTGCATTTGCTGGCTGTTTGCAACATACAGAGATGTTACTATTCATAACACTCTCTTAATTTCATACAAAAATGAGCAGATGCTCATTGCACTCTATTTATCCACTTTGTGAGAGAGAATTATTATTATACACAGTTTTTTAACAGTCTCTGGAAACAAAGTTTTGTTTGCAAAGTTTCTGCTAGAATGAACATCTCTGATGAGAAATTGCCCGCTGCATTTGCAAGTTACTATCATCAAATGCTACAGATAGTCAGTTTCTATTAATGCACTTCCTTCCAAAGTAAAATAATCACGTATATTTTAAGACTATCCCTAAAGCTAACCCTATAGTATGTACATATTTTTAATTGATATTACTCAATACTTAATTTTATAATTACACTGTAAATAGATATTTACATTAGCATATTACTAATCAAAAATTAAGTTTTGATATATTTACGGTAGGAAATTTACAAAATATATTCATGGAACACGATCTTTACTTAATGTCCTAATGATTTTTGGCATGAAAGAAAAATCGATAATTTTGACCCATACAATGTATTTTTGGCTATTGCTACAAATTTACCCCAGCGACTTAAGACTGCTTTTGTGCTCCAGGGTCACATATGAGTTTCTTTCTTTTGTCGCGAACGAAGAAGATATTTTAAAGAATGTCCATAGGTAAACAAACAGTTAATACTACAGTATAGAAGTCAATGGCTACCATCAACTGTTTGGTTCCCAACGTTCTGCAAAACATCTTCTTTTGTTATCAACAGAAGAAGAAACTCATACAGGTTTGAAACAACCTGCGCGTGAGTAAATGATGACAGAACTTTCATTTTTGGGTGAACTATCCCTTCTGAATTAGATTTTATTGTCCTCTAACCACTAGATGGCACAAAAGTCACTGCAGCTCTTTCCTAAATTGTACTGTGCATATTTGGCGGATTCTTCGCACAATCACAAAGTCGATCTAATATTTAAAGTTAATGTTTAATGTTAAAATCACAAGAGAAAGACAAAAGATATTTTGCCCCAAATTTTGGTTGCATTTTCTCTTTCTTATTTCATGCTCTTGTTTATGTAAAAACTGGACTCACAAATTGGTCTTTGAAATGAAATTGAAGAGATCATTCAAACCAGAGTTTGTTATAGTAGCATTATCTTTCTTTTGTACAAGTTTGGGGATTGATGTGCTTGTGAGACAAAGGTCAGTTTTGGTTACATTTTCAGTAACTGGAAAATATGTAAATTTGGGATATAAAATACACCCCTATTGTTGAAGCTGAATCATTTATGTGGTAATAAATATTATTTATTGAGTTGAGTGTCTACCTTAGAGCGATTATCACCATCTTTATAATGGAATCATCCTACACTGAACAAAATTATAAACGCAACACTTTTGTTTTTGCCCCCATTTTTCTTGAGCTGAACTTACAGATTTAGACAGATTTGTGAACAATATTTGAGAGAAATAGGCCTTTTGTGTACATAGAAAAAGTCTTAGATCTTTTGAGTTCAGCTCATGACAAATGGGGGCAAAAACAAAAGTGTTGCGTTTATAATTTTGTTCAGTGTATTTAAAAATATGACATTAATCATATTATTTTTACATAATACAATTTATTATTTATTGTTACTATTATAAGGCTATTTTAAATGATTATGCAGTGTAAAAAGCTTTCAGAATCTTGCATAAATTTCTATGCATATTTAACATGAAAATATTTTAATGATAATGAATAAAAGTAAATAAAACAATCTTATAAAAAGAAACAAAAAATAGCTCAAACTTTGCTGAAATTATATTTTTGAACAAGTATTAACTTAATTAATAGACTTATGCAAAACATATGTGACCCCGGACCACAAAACCAGTCTTAAGTCTCTGGGGTATATTTGTAGCCAACCACTTTGTTGCAACCATATTGTGACCCTGCACCACAAAACCAGTCTTAAGTTGCTGGGGTATATTGTAGCAATAGCCAAAAATACATTGTATGGGTCAAATTATTGATTTTTCTTTTATACTAAAAATCATTAGGATATTAAAGGGGTCATATGACGTTGCTAAAAATAACATTATCTTGTGTATTTTAGAGTAAACCGAGAGAATGGCAAAAAAACACAATAACGTTCACATCGAGTGGGCGGGGCTTATTGCGCCATTTCGAGGGGTCTAAAAATAAAATGTCTTATACTTTTTTATTTTCTCTTTATTTACGCGGTTTAATATTTATTAACGATCTAAGTGTCGATATGATTGTGTACATTATTGACTAGACCCTTGCTAAAAAATTACAAGCGCGTCTTTGTCAAATGATACTTGTTGCATTTCTCAGCGCTTTTTGAGTTGAGTCCAATCAAAGTCGTTTGTGATTTCTGAATAGGAGTAGAACAGTGTATTAAATGATTGCATACAGTTGTTGTGTTAGATTTTTGTTTATATGTCGGGGACCAGTCACTGGAAAAAATAAATGTAAAACAGTACACGTTTGCAAATTTCTCCAATAAGACAAAACCCTTTCTAAATGTCAATATGGTTCAAAGAAGCGTTCTGCTTTTTGAGCCACCGTGCGCCCTCTGGAAGAAGAACATGGTTTTGTCTGCTATTAGACATTAATATTTTCCACCTAATGTGTACTTCAGAATGATGGCTGGATTCATTTATCCTCTTTTCCAATGGACGTCATGTTTGTTTGTTTTTTTGTTGTTAATTTTTTAATTATTTATTTATTTACTTATTTTTAGGTTCAAGGCCTTCCTCTTCTCTGCGCCAATAAAATAATAATAATAATAATAATAATAATACTAGCCTAATAAAAAAATAGTTTATTAATTAAGGCCTATTATTTAAGTTGTGGTTTATCCTAACATTGAGCGAATGGAAGGGTTTTCTTTTGGAGAAAATAAGCTCTTTGGCAGCAAGATTCCTGTCTCATGACTTTTATAGGATAATAGATCTCACACACAAGCCTCATCACATGACTTCAGTTACACTCAGGCCTCTTACAGAGTGCTTGTGCTGTGGAAAACAAAAAGAGAACAATAATTTAAAAAGCAATTTGTTTTTTAGTGTTTTAAAGAAACTCAAAAGACATGCTATAAAGGCAGGTTCACAGCAATGGGATTGTATTTATTGTATTAGGCTATTAGTTTTGTTGGTTGGATTTTGCATTCCTTTGCAGTTCTCAAGAAGAGGATTGTTCTTATTTCCTGCTTTTATTGCTCTCACTTCCTATATTGTGTAAATTGTCGCCTCTGGCAAATTCTTACCATAAAGATGACCATTGTGTCATATATGTGTGTGTGTGTGTGTGTGTGTGTGTGTGTGTGTGACCCTGGAGCACAAAACCAGTCATAAGAGTCAATTTTTCGAAATTGAGATGTATACATCTTCTGAAAGCTGAATAAATAAGCTTTACATCGATGTATGGTTTGTTAGGATAGGACAATATTTGGCAGAGAAACAACTATTTGAATATCTTGAAACTGAGGGTGCAAAAAAAATAAAAAATAAATAAATATTGAGAAAATCGCCTTTAAAGTTGCCCAAACGAAGTCCTTAGCAACGCATATTACTAATGATAATAAAGTTTTGATATATTTATGGTAGGAAATTTACAAATATTTTCATGGCACATGATCT